AGAAGCCTCTTTCCGTGGCATTCTTCGCTCACACAAGTTAAGAGGCTTCTTGCCTCATGTGTTGGTCACAGGAGTCTTAAGCATTGCATAAAATGTCACATGCCTTAGGTTTATTCATATCCCCTCGTGGATGTATTATTACCAGAGCTAAAGGAAGTGGACATTCTTTAAGCTTCAAAGGGAGACTCAAGATCTATTATGAATATATGTTTACTTAAAAACTTTTATCTGAGACATTGATGAACTTTGCAAATAATAGCAGTGTTTTTTCTTTGTTTTTGTATCTTGGCCATACTGTGCAGCTTTCGAGATCTTAGTTTTCTGACCAGAGATCAAACCTGCACCCTCGGCAGTGAAGGCAGAGTCCTAACCACTGGACCACCAAGGAATTTGCAAGAAGGTTATCTTAAGGACCTCAGAGTGCAACGACAAAAGTAAGTACATGTTTCTGTGGAAACAAACTGCTAATCAATATTTCAAGAACAATCGTCAAGGTCATGACAGGTTACTTAAAGATTGTGGCAGAAGAAATCTTTCCTCCAACACTCATATCAGATGTTTGGTAGAATAGTTTATTAAGAGTTCATTTTCTTTAATATTATTTATTTATTAGGTTGTGACAGGTCTTAGTTGCAGCACACAAACTCTTAGCTGCGGCATGCAGGACCTAGTTCCCTGATCAGGAATCAAACCGGGGCCCCCTGCATTGGAAGCATGGAGTCTTAGTCACCGAACCACCAGAAAAATCCCTAGAGTTCATTTTTATATAAAAGGGAAAAAATTATTTGACTATATATATAAAATCATTACACTGTGATACTATCACCTCAAAGGGTGCAGACAAGCAGAATGGACTTTTAAACAAAATTTTAGCTGCCAGCTGCTTGCACTATCATACAGAGCAAAATTTCCTCCTCAAAATTGGTAAGGCAAGTGCACTCGGTTGAACAGTGCTTCTCCCAAATTTATGTCCACCTGGAGCTGGTGAATATGTCCTTACTTGGAAGCAGAGTATTTGTAGATGTGGCCAAATTAAGAAGTCATACCGGATTAAGGTGGGCCCTGATCCAATGACCTGTGACCTTATCAGAAGAAGGAAATGTGGATGCATGTCCAGACACACAGAAGGTGGAACGCCACGTGAAGATGAAAAGGCAGCAACTGGGGTGATGCTGCCTTCCCAAGGCAAGGAATGCCAAGGATTATGGGCAACCACCAGGAGCTGGGTAGAGGGAATGAAGGATTCTTTCTTAGAGCCTTTTGAAATACTGTGGCCCTGTGGATACCCTGATTTCAGACTGCTGGTCTCCAGAACTATGAGAGAGTAAATTTTTGTTGTGTTAGGCCACCCGGTTTGTGGTCATTTATATGGCAGTTCTGGGAAATTAATACAGGAAGCACATGGCAGAGAGAAATACTTCAGCAAATGTCTATTTCAAAACATTTGGTTTAACTTTAATACCCTCCTCAAGGCCCCATCTAGGAACCTAAGTTGGGTAAGCAAACAGGAGTTGACCTTTCACTGCTGAATTTCACAGAAATTCAGAAAATTGCTGTGCATTCATTCAAACTAAAAAAGGAAAAATAAAAAGGAGAAAAAAAATATTTATTTTACTCACTCCAGTACAGTGACAAATCTTTTAAATTTGATCACTCACTCTGGTCTGTCCTTTGTCTTGCTAGTAGAACTGAGTGTTGTAACTATTGCATAGACATATTCACAGATGCCAAGAAATAATAACTCAGTTTAGACACCCAGAAATGTATTACTGGCTATAGGTCATATAGAACTGCTCATGTCTTCTAGGGCTGTGTGGTGATAGATTGTTTATATTGGATCTTGTTGGATATATGCTGTACTTGTTCAAGTTACAGAAAGTTGCAAGTACAATTTCTTCCTTTCTTAGAGAAGCATAAAAGTTAACTAGATAAAACCAACATAAATGCATGATTATTCTGGATCAAAATATCTTAGCTTTGGGCTAAGTTGATGTATTTACTTATTGTGATGAAAACAAAATCTGAATTTAGTTTGATAGTAGTACTATTCCTGTTCTATTAGTCTTTGCCTTCTCCTCCGAACAAACTTCTATTTATCTTTTAATACCCATCTCACATGTGTCTTCTTAAAGCCTCCCCCATTGGTAAACAGGATTAGTGAGTCTTCTCTGGGCTTACAAAGACTACTTCAATCGTTGCTATATAGTATATGTTAGTTGTTTGTCTGTCTCTCCTGTTAGACTGTGAGCTCCTTCTTCCTCTTTGCACAGCTAACACTATGCTCGGTATAAAGCACGCACTTAATAGATGTTTGCTGAAGGAATGATGAATTTTTGATGACTGAAAGCTATTTAGTAAAGTACTCATCACTGAACTTAAAAGAGTGTCTTCCTCTTAGGAATGTTCTGTTGTAGAATAACTTCAGGAATTATACATGGAATACAAGTTTCAGCACTCTTATTGTGCTGAACTTGATGACTCTGCAAAATTTTCACTGACTCCACACACATTTCCTGATTCTAGCTTCTGCTTGGAAACTTTCCCTCATATCTCTACTACAAGAATGCAAAGCATCTGTCGTGAGCTCTCTACCCTCACAGATAATGAAGTCCATAAAACGAAGGGGACAGAGAAAAGGCAGGATGTTCCTTATGTTCCATATTCCTTTTCATTTATACCTGTGTTCTTTTGCTGATAGCAGCTTTCCATTAGGAGGTCTTTCAGAATCAACTACCCATTCACCCATTCATTCAAGAAATGGTACTTTACTATTGAATGAGCAGGCTCGTAACTAGGGGAGAAATGTCAGGTAGAAAGTACTGTGTTTTATAACATGGAAATAGAAAAGCCCCTCTAGAGTTCCAATGAGGAACATGAAGTTCAGTTCACACTTGCTCAAATTCCCACAACTTGTGAGAGCTGAGACTGGCTCCTCTTGCATTTGACATCAGATGGAATAACTGGAGAAATTGAGATTCAAGCCTAATTTGGATGGTACAAAAGCCTTGGGTCTTCTGCTACACTACACCATGCACCTCCCACAGGCTACTGTTTTAGTTCTCTGACAGATGCAAAGGTTATTATCTAAGTTATCAGCAATGACAATAAAAAGGATCAAGGGGTAGAGACAAGATATAAATGCAGGTTATACAATGAGAATGACATGATAGCTGACTAAATTAAGAAGGAGAGGGAAAAGAATAGAATTAAGGATGGCCTAAGGGAATTCTCTGGTGGTCCAGTGGTTAGGACTCTGTGCTTTCACTGCTAGGGGCCATGGTTCCATCATCCCTGGTCAGGAAAAAACCAGGATGGTTTAAGCTTGGAGTTCGCGTAAGTAGAAAAATAACGATGCCATTAGCAGGATTAAGGATCTCAGCAGAAGAGAGTTTTTATTCAGTGAGAGCCTTGGAGGAAGGAAATGGAGGGGAAAATAGGTATGAGTCCTACATATAGACATTTAAGCCTGACAATAGGCAAGATTTCTTAGGAAGAGAGAAGGTAGGGAAAAGAAACAGAACACTGGAGAAAGACTGATGGCAGGAGATGAAATGGAAAAGGAGCTCTGAGAGAATATACTTTCAAGGAAGCCATGAGAAAAAAGAATTCAAGAGAACTGAGATGAGACCAGATGAAAGGCTGTCTTGTAAGAGAATGAAAATTTGTGGTTAGCAAACAGCTGACCCTGAGGTTTAAAAAAAAAAATTTTTTTTTAAAGTTTCAAAGGAAGGAAATAACAGTCATTGTGTAATAGTTTTCTAAAACTTGGCAGGCATTCAAATGTGGGTCCTTATCCGCCTTTCCGGTTAAGGTGAGAGCTAGGGAGAACTAAGCTCCCAAGGAAAAGGAGGTTCTGGGGCTCTCCAAGGTGCTACTTCTCAACAAAATCGAAATGAAATCCTATCTTCATTCACACTGTGAGATGGAAAATGCAAATTAAGCGTCCGTTTTTGCCCTTATTTCCTTCAGGCTGGTAAAGCAAGACTGATGATGTTTTTGCCAGGTAGACATATGTCCGTCATTAAATTTGAATCTTAATATGGTCTACCACCCACGAAATATGAAAAACCGGTTTTCCGAGTTTTTCCTGATACAGTTTTGGTTATGACAAACGATTTGGGCTCCCCACTCTTCCTTACAAGTATGGCAAGAAAAGGGAACCGACGTCAATCCTTGATAATGGCGTGGTTTTTTTTTTTTTAATAAATAATGGGTAGGCATCACTTAACGCGGTTTTAAAAACTTAGGTTATTCTTTTACAGATTTTGAGGAAGAGAAAACTTTTAAGCCGTCAAGTGGGAGCACAAGTATGCAAACAAGATTCAAAATTATCTTTCACAACACATGGCTTAATAAGGTTTCTCCCACTGTTAATTGGAGAAAAACAAACCTTGGATAGTTGCTGAAGGGACTGAAACAATTACCTTTACAAAGAAAGGTTTCTCCATACTTAAACGAAAGAGCCCCCTGCTCAAGTCTAGACCATAGGATCTGGCACCTTTAGCAAGTCTCTCCCCACTCTAGGACTCAAATTTTCTCTGTAAAACAAGGGGAAAAGATGTGTGTGCGTACAGAGGAGACTGGTGGAAGCCCTTTAAAGCTTCTCTCCAGCTCGCAAGTTATTTCATAGTTATTTCTCCCCTTCATGCTAGTTCCCTCGAAGAGGAAAAAGTTGTGAATTAACTCCTTGGATATGAAAATAAAAAAGCAGATAGCCTGGCTTCAAGGAAACTTATTAGGGAACACGGATTCTGAAGAGCTCAATGACTTAAGGCCACCAGAACCTGCGCCGCAGCCGGCCTTCCCTGGCCTGCAGCCGCGGCTCCGGGAACAAGATGGCGTCAGCACGCAGGCTCTCGCCCCCGCCCCCGCGACTCCGCAATGCGGCCTCCAGCTGAGGCCGCACCCCATTGGCCAATGGCAATGAGATCATCGTGGGGGCGGTGGCCGGCGGCGGCGCGGAGGCGGGGCTTTGCGGACGCAGGCACGTCGAGGTGCGGCTGCCAGGCGCTGCGGAGGCTGCGGGCTTGGTTTGCGGCGGCTGCCTTGGCCGCGGCCCCCGACTGGAGGTGAGCGAGGGCTGTGAGTACAGCGCGGCCGGAAGCGGCCTTTGAGGGGCAAAGCAAGCCCTTCTAACGGCCCCCTCGGTTGTCAAAGGAATTAGCAGGGGCTTCAAGTCTCTGAGAGGAAATGGGGGTTCACCCCTCCTCGGGTACCCCTCTTGTGGGCAGAGGAACGGGAGGTTCACTCTCTTTTGGAGGCCCCGATCCCTTGTCCCATTTACGTGGAAGGTGGAGAAACTGAAGGTTAATGGGAAGGAAGAAGATTTGGGGGTCTTCTTAAAGGAACTCCCATTTGAGGGTTCTCCCCTTTATTCCTCACTCCAGGAGGTAGGTGTGCCTGGGCCTGGAGAATTCCTGCTTCTCACTGGATAGACAGGAAATGAGGCAGGTGAACTTGAATACCTCGTTAAGGGAGGCGAGGACTGGATGGCATTTGTGAGGCAGGAGGGCTCGGGAGCGCTTTATTTGGACTCATCTTGGGCAGGATTACTGTTTCTTCCTATTTTGCTTTGTGACCCTCCCAACACCCCCGGATCGCTATGGCGTTTTTATTTTTCGTTTTGGCTCCAGTGGGACAGAGATGTTCTAGGGAGACTTGTAATCATTAAAGAGCAGAAACAGGGAGGCAACTCATTGGAGGTTGTCATTATCGGCAGCCTCTGAACTATGCTGATCTGGCATAATTTTATGTGCTTAGAGGTTGTGGAATCTGTTCGTGTTGGGGGGTGAAGTGGGGACTGTTAACAGCTGTTTTGGATGAGTCAGGTGTAGGCAGTCTCAAAGTCAAGCTACATAATCTCTTGAGAAATTCTTGCTTCTATCTGAATGTGTTGTTTTGCTGCCTTGAATGTCATGCACAAAGGTTTTGTCATTCAGATTTCTCAAAATGTCTCCCAGGCTTCCGGAGAAATAGCTCTTCCTTTGATGCCAGTTTCGCCTATCATTAGGAATGCCCTCATGATACCAGAAATAACGTGCATTTTGTTGAGTTTAGATTCTGTACAGTCCGTGCCTTACAATAGCCGACTGAGAATAAATAATTGCAGTTTCAGGACCACTGATAGCGCCAATTGTCTTTCCTACCCGGTAACGGTAAGACCGCCTCAGAAGGATATCTTTATTGGCTCATTCATGAGAAGCTTTAACAGATGGAAGAACGTAGTTAATCTTGAAGGTAGGGATAAAAAACAGAAAGCTGCGGAGGTTGAAAGCTTATTCTCTGACGATAAAATTGCTTTGTCATTTCATGTGTTCCCATCATGATTGACTTGAAGTTGGGCTTAATGTTTAAGCTGTTTCTGTGTGTGTGTATGTAGAAGTTAACACTTCTGTGTTTAGATTCTTTAGGGAGAAAATGGTGTTTTGTGAGGAGTTCGAAAAGGTAAATCCTTTAAGGTAGCTGTACCTTGAGGGCAGTGCTGGGACTTTGGCTGTTAGAAATTGGCAGTAGAAGAAAAAAAAAGAAATTGGCAGTTAGAGGATAGAAAACTAATTTCAACGGAGACATTCTTTTTGAGAGGGAAATTGAAGTCTCTTCTGATTGTTTCCTGACACAGGCAAAAACAAAAAAAGATCTCTGTGAATGTCACTGCCTTGTAATACTGTGTCTAGGGTATTTAAAGAGCTGTTGGATTCCCAGTTCCTGTTTTTAATCTGAATACATTCTTATGTATTGAGATGTCCCACATTATTGTCATTTGATCCTGATGTTGACTGCAAAGGAAGTGACTGTTCATCAGGCCCTCTTCACAAGAGGATTCAGTAACAGCCTTTGCAATTTCTTCTTTCTGTCTTTCTAAGCTAAGGATGTCAGAATAGTTGATAAAGATCTGTCAGCATGGAGTGGGAGAAATGAAATACAAGATGGAAGAGGCCTCCTGGGGTGTTTGCTTTCAGTCCTCTTGGTAGTTCCAAGTCCATGTAATTTTCTCTTTTTGCTTTAGGTTGCAGAGAAATCCTGGTACTCAGTTGACCGGTCCTTTCTGCCACCATGGGGGAGCTTTTCCGGAGTGAGGAGATGACACTGGCCCAGCTTTTTCTACAATCAGAAGCTGCTTATTGTTGTGTCAGTGAATTAGGTGAACTTGGAAAGGTTCAGTTTCGTGATGTAAGTAGTTATGGCTCCGCTTCTTGATTACCACTGAACTTTGTTTTTCTTGTTATGGCCAATTGCCTCATGACAAATGTTTTGCTTTTTATTTGCAAAAATAACATAGTATTGGCTTACTACTGGAAGAGTGTACATTGCAAGATGTCTTTGCACAGGTGGAAGTGATTTGTGCTGATCCTTCCACACTTTTACTAGCCTACCCTGTGGAGGATAATCTGAAGCATTCTCAACATAATTGCTTGAAATGCAGATAAAGGACAGCCTCCATCCTCAGCCTTCAAAAGTTCAAGGCTCGAACTTCACTTTTGGGCCCCTTAACACCCATAGTAGGGTATTTTTAAAAAGTGTCATAGCAAAAAAATAAAATAAAAAAGTTTCATAGCTCTGCATACAATAGGATGTATTTATTACAAAATCTGAAGCATCCAGTTACAGATATATAGTGTATAAGGGTATACTGAATACTCACTGTTTTGAAGCATTATGCTAGGCACTTTGGAGGAGATAGCAAAAGAAAGTGGACAATCTAAGTATTTAAAAAAAAAGTGTGTACTGTGAGGCTTACAATCTGATTAGGAAGGCATAATCTATGGTGCTGAAAGGAGGAACCCCTGTTATGCTGTCTCAAAGCTCCATGTACCTCTTGTTTATAGCACTCATCAGAGTCCTGATTTTCTGTTCATCCGTGTGAGTGAATGACTAAAGAATGTCTCTTGTACAGTGATCTTAGCACCAGGAAGATAGAGACATTCACTATTATATCCTTAGTGCCCACATATAAGATAGTCAATATTTGTTGGAATGAATGAATAGATGAAAAAGGAGTGGTCAGAAAGGGATGGAATTATTCAGTTTTGACTTCCTGGAATCGGCAAGCTTTCTGGAAGTTCTCAGTCTGAGCTGAAATTGCACAAATATAATCCAGTTATAAAGTCTCATTCGTTTTTCTCTTTGAACCCTCTTATATTACCTCTCTTCAGATGTTCTTCTACCTAACTCAACTAATGCATCAATATTCTTCCAGTTTTTTAGACTTGAAGGCTAAATCAAACCTAATTCATCCTTTTGCAATCCTTTATTTCGTCCTGTGGTATCTCCCTACCTAACACCATTGTGTGTATTCAGTGTTCTTAACTTTTACATCAATCATTAAAAAAATTAATAGGAATTAATAAAGTGAATATTTATTTTAGTTCCAGACCACTACAATAAAGTATCTCAATAAATTGAGTTACACAAATGTTTTGGTTTCCCAGTACATTTAAAAGTTATGTTGGGAATTCCCTGATGGTCTAGTGCTTAGGACTCCTCACTTTCACTGCTGAGGGCACAAGTTCAGTCCTTGGTTGGAAGATTAAGATCCCGCAAGCTGAGTGGCGTGGCCAAAAGAAAAAGTTGTGTTTATACTGTAGACTGTAGACTACACTAAAGTCTGTTAAGTGTGCAGTAGCATTATGTGTAAAAAAGAAGTACGTACATTAATTTAAAAACACTTTGTTGCTAGAAAATGCTAACCATCATCTGAGCCTTCAACAAGTGGAATTTTTTTGCATTCAGAAGATTACTGATCACCATAACAGATACAATAATGAAAATGTTTGAAATGCTGGGAAAATTACCAAAATGTGACAGAGACAGAAAGTGAGCAGATGCTATTGAAAAGTGGCACTGATCAACCAACCTTCCTCGATGCAAGGATGCCACAGACCTTCAATTCGTAAAACAACACAATATCTGCAAAGCTCAGTAGTGTGAAATACAGTAAAGTGAGTTACGCCTGTAACTATGTTTTTATTATCTAATTAAGAGAATTACTCCACAAATAATTGAAAATGCCTGTGTATCTTTCTTCCGTGCCATTCATTTGTCTCTCCCCTACAAAGGTGATCTCTACAGTCATCTTTGCTTTTGTCATTGCTTTGTGTTTTTCCCCCCACTTTTGCTGTGTGTGTGTGTGTGTATGTATGTATGTATCACTAAATAATAATATATGGTATAATTTTGTATGTTTTAAAACTATGTACATGGTTTCATATTGTATATATCCTTCAGCAAGTGGTTTTTAAATTTAACACTGTGAGAGTTAACCATGTTGATACAGGTAGTATCAACCTGTATAGGTTAAACTGCTGTATGGTTATTGTTAAGAGTATAGAGTTCAGCATTTTTTCCTTCTGATGAACATTTTGGTTGATTGCAGTTGTTTGCTCTATAGTGGTACAGTGAAGATTCATATATATACATGTATATTTTATATATATATTGTGGTATACATATGTGATTGTTTCTCCTCTGTATATATTGTGTATATATCTTGGTATACATATGTGATAGTTTCTTCAGGGCAGTGGTTCTCAAACTTTTTGGCCTGAGGACCTCTTTATACTCTTAAAAAATTATTGAGGACCCTAGAGGGCTTTTATGTGAGTTACAGTTATTGATATTATTGTACTGGAAATTAAAACTGAGAAATGTTTGAAGTATTTATTTATTAAATAATTTAAAAATTATAATAAGCCCACTACATATTACCATAACTTTTTTATGAAAAATAACTATTTTCCAAAACAAAAAAAAATAATTTTGAGAGGAAGGGGATGGCTTTTACACTTTTGAAAATCTTTTAGTGTCTGAATTAGTAGAAGACAGCCTGATTCTCACTTGTTTCTGCAGTCTTCTGTGATGTATCTTATGAGCCTCTGAGAAATTTCGCTGCACACTCATAAGAGGATGAGAATGAAAAGGGCAAATAATGTCTTAGTGTTACATGAAAATGGTATTGCTCTCGTGGACCTGCTGCTGCTCCAGGGATTATAACCAGGAGGGGCATTGCTGAACATCGTGTGTGTCCCTGTTAGATGTAATCAGAGTCCATACTTCACGGTGAATGTACCTGTTCGTGCTCCCATCGCTGGCTGAAGAGTTCATTTTGTTCCACAATTGTGCCAACACCTCTGTGCTCAGACAGAAAGAAATTTGCCGTGTGATGGTTATGAAGTGGTATCTTATTGTTTTAATTTGCAGCTTTTAGATTAGTATATTTAGTATCTTATTATTTGTTTATTGAACATAATGGGTTTCATTTTCCATGAATGTCTGTCTATATTATCTGCCTGTTTTTCTGTTGAGTTTGCTTGTCTTCGGCTCACTGACTTGTAGGATTTTTTTTTAAAAGTTCTTCTTGTACTCCGGAAGCTAATCTTTTTTTAATCCTCTACAGGTAACTTCTAGGCTGTGGCTTGTCTTTTCCCTCTGTTGATGGTATAGTTTGTCATATATGTAAAGTTTATTTTTCTTTTTTTGTTATTAGTATTTTCTTTTTTTTCCTAAATTTTTATCTTGAAAAATTTCAAGCCTGAATACTTCGGTGTAGATTCGTTAGTTGTTAATATTTTGCTGCAGTTGATACAGTCTTTTTTTTACTGGACTATCAGAGTGAGCTGTCTCCTTCAAACCCTTTTTCTTTCTTTCTTCTTATTTTACCTTCAGTAACATGTTGATAAAGTGTAAGACCAAGCTGATACTAGTTAGGATTGTGTTCAGCTGTATGTAACTGAAAACCCAAATGATAGGGGTATACTTTTCTCATGTAACATGAAGCCCAGCTTCACGCTGTCAGCAATGTCCTAAGATCACTTTGTATTCTTGTTTGAATATCCTTGAGCACTTGGCTTTTGTCCTTACAGATGATCACCACAACTCACAGCATTTCATCCATATTCTAGGCAGGAAGAAGGAAGTGCAAGGAGGAAGGGGAAGTACTTACATATGGAGGAAAACAATTTTCCCGGAAATCCTCATCAGACTTTGCTAATTAATCATTGGCCAAAATTATGGTGTAATTTAGCTGCAAGGGAGTTTGGGAAATATGGTTGTTGTTGTTTTTTTCAACTGATCTGCTACTGCCCTGAACAAAATTGGGATTTTTGTTAATAAGGAAATAGAGCAGAATGCTTTGTGTCTTATCACACAGTATGCTAGTCTTGCTCCTAACTTTAAGGGTAATCTTTTAGATTTTTTATAGTTTAAATAGGATGTTTATTCTTAATTTTGGGGGGGAAATTCTGTTAGATTACACAGATTCCTTTCCATTTCTGGTTTTTCTGAAGTTGTCACAAATAGTTGTGGAATTTTACTGAATGCCTTTCATTTATTGAGATTACCATTTAAAAAAATTTTTTTCTCCTTTAAATCTGTTAATTTGGTGAATTACATAGGCACTTTTTTCCCTACCAGTTTTTTTAAACAGCTTTACTGAGATACAATCCACATACCGTACAATTTGTCCATTTCAAGTGTACAGTTCAATGATTTTTATTATATTCACAGAATTATACAATCATCACCACACTCAATCTTGGAACATTTTCATTACGCCAAGAAGAAACCCTGTACCCATTAACAGTCTCTCCCCATTTCCTCCCAACCCCACTCCCCGCCTCCAGCCCTTGGCAACCACCAATCTTCATTGCCGTTTCTGTGGGTTTGCCTATTCTGGACATTTTATGTGAGTGGATTCATGTAATATGTAGTCTCTTGTGTCTGGCTTCTTTCACTTACTATAAAAGTTCAACTATATTGTAGCTTGTATCTATTCTTTTCTTTCTTTTTTGTATCATTTTTTAACTATGAACATACGCAGCATATTAAAATGAGTGGTTTTAGTATAAGTAATTTTTACTTATCTTCTGTACAAAAGATATCGCCCTGGGCTTTATTTTTTTTTTTTTTTGAAAGGATATTTCCTTTATTTGTAGAACTTATATACAGTGTGACTCAAAAAAAAAAAAAAAAAAAGCTATGAGTATGGTTAATCAAAGCGCTGTTAAACCCTAAATAATTTACAGAGTATGGTCTTTATCTTTCTGGCTTACTTCGCTCTGTATAATGGGCTCCAGTTTCATCCATCTCATTAGAACTGATTCAAATGAATTCTTTTTAATTCGCCCTGGGTTTTAAAGAGAGAATTAAGACATGTTTCATTGCTTGACTTGTTC